ATATTTCACGGCCAGGAACACCGGTGCAAATGGCACGGAATGGATGGTTTGAATCGGATCCATATAATATCCCCCCGTGGTGGTGGATGCGTGAATAAATAAAGAAATTCATCGGAAAGTCTACAAATGTCTTCGACAGTTTAAGGAACGGGTAACTTTATCATCGGTGTAAACATGTGCCCTCCCAATGGACAAAATGTCTGGGTTAGTGGTGCTGTACTCGGCTCAGTTGACAAAAAAAGCATCACCGTGTTATGGAAATGAATAATGACTGCGATTCCAAAATGGGGCAGTTATAAAGTCTCTCCTCCTGCTCGTTAATTTGCCTTGGACAAGCGTTGCACTTTGACAAGCATCGTCAGGAACACAGAATACTTGGCACATGAAACTAAATATCAATATTTATAGCAAGGGCACAGCTTAAACTAGGCCTATGTGCATTCTGAATGCACATAACTTTGTATATTGCGAAGCAATTTAATATATGTGCACGTACAGCTCTTTCATCAATCCACTGCTGGATGAGACTACCAACACCCCCTCCTCTGCCATTAAGATCATGGGGGTTGTTTAACTGTACATCACCATTTTGATTTAAAGCTTTCGTGATTGCAGTAATTCATATTCTTAGTTTTTTCGGTAAAGTCACGTTGAAGGGAAACAACAAAATAATAAAATATATATAAAACAATAAAAAATTCTCACGACGTTTCGACCATTACTCAAACGGTCGTCTTCAGGTGTGTTGGTTTGCATACATTTATTTTTAAACGGCGCATTTATTTATTTATAAAAAACGTTAGCGCCACGCGCAACGATTTGGCAGTTTATTTAGGACTAGTCCATCGATATTCTGAAAAGAGGAGGGGGGAGACGAAATTTTTTATAATGTATGCTGTCTGAAAGCCACTGTAAGCGTGAACAATCAATTAAGACCTGAAATGGAAAGATTTGATAAACCATTTCAGGTCTTAATTGATTGTTCACGCTTACAGTGGCTTTCAGACAGCATACATTATAAAAAAGTTTCGTCTCCCCCCTCCTCTTTTCAGAATATAGATGGACTAGTCCTGGGTAAACTGTCAAATCGCTGCGCGTGGCGCTAACGTTTTTTATAAATAAATAAATGCGCCGTTTAAAAAGAAATTTATGCAAACCAACACACCTGAAGATGACCGTTTGAGTTATGGTCGAAACGTCGTGAGAATTTTTTAAAATTGTTTTATATATATTTTATTATTTTGTTGTTTCCCTTCAACGTGACTTTACCGAAAAAACTAAGAATATGTACATCACCACACAATGGTAAAGCTATACAAATGTTTATTCTACCAGGTAAGGCCCACTAAGCGATGTAGTTCTTTTTCAGAAGCAACCTGGCCACGAACGATAGCTCAACGAAGCAGCTGATCACGTGGACATTTGTAGCAGCCAAACGCTCTAAACGCGTGATGTTGATTCGAAATGTGGAGGTGGAAAAACCGGGGGAATCGAAGAATAAAAATCCACGCGATCACGGGTGAGAGAGAGACACACACACGCACCACAAACTTCAAATATACAGCAGGCGTCGAGGGGGTTGGCGGGTCGGGGATCAAACCGCACGACCTCCTGCACACCCGGCGAGGTAGTTAACATCTCGCCACCGTGGCGCACCAAACAACGTGGGGGTAACAGAGTCGCTTCACTCCCACCGCGGCCTTGGAGCGGCGAGCGTTGCGGTGCCTTTCCGCCCAGTCGTCTGGAGCTCGCTCGGCTTCGTGGCCATCACCTTGGGGCCCACCGCACCTCCGACGAGTGTCAACAAAGACCTTCAAACGCCTATTGTCTGAGCAGCATACAGATTCAAACTACATTCGAAGCTTTCGTGACTGCCAGAATGACTCTTTGGTTCTTTTGGTAAAGTCACGTAGAAATAAATAAAGTAATAAAATTATAATTCATCTGTACCTGATGATGGTTGCTTGTGTTGCAATTGAAACATCATAGTCTTATTCTTAGCTCTTTCGGTAAAGTCACGTTGAAGGGAAACAATAAAATAATAAAATATTATTGTTTTATATATTTTTATATATATTTTATTACTTTATTTTTTCCCTTCAACGTGACTTTACCGAAAGAGCTAAGAATATGAATTACTGCAGTCACGAAAGCTTTAAATCAAAATTTTACGTCGTATTCTCTTATTATTTAATTTGATTTCTTTCCGCGTGACTTTACCGAAAGAACCAAAGAGCATACAGATCATGCTCAAATTAACTAATTAACCAGCAAATTGCCCCTCAGAGTCTTTGGAATAATGGTGCCTTGTAAAAAATAGACTCAGTATTATTATTATTATATACAGGGGTAGGTGCTTTGGGGACGAAAAAAAAAACAAAGATACCGACTGGCCGTGGGTAGGGACGTGCGACTGCGTGAAACAGGGCCGCAACGGAGTGGGCTCAGTCGGCGCCATTCCCAGAGTGCTCTGCGGGGTCACGGAGGCCGAGCTCCACGTCATCCCCCGGGTGCCAGCGGCGCTCGCAGTCCGCCACGAGCGGCTTGCTTCGGACGTTTTGCCCGGAGCGGATGGGGTGTGGGGGGGGGTTACCTCATAGTGCAATGGCGTCCTCTGGTCTAACAGCGCTTTGAGACGAGGCTCAAAAGAAAGCTGTCTCTGGTGTGGACCAATCAGCTTCAAAGACAATGCCACATATATTATCAGAGTGTGTTTTTTGTTTGCATTCTGACCACAAGCATTGTGGTTAATGCGGACATGATTTGGTGTTTTAATGACTTGACGCGGCTGTTTTGTCGCCAGATAAAAAGGGAAAAACCTATTCTCATATTTTGGTACTGGCAAAGGAGGTCCCATGATGTATTTGGTTTTTTTTTTGCGTAACCTGGCATTCCACCCGGATGTCGCGAGCCCGTAATCCCCGCCGGCAGGGCTGTACCCTTGTGTGAAACGCATCGTCACCGTCGTTCATAGCCTTTGCGCCGCAACGGGAAATGATGCAAGTGGCGAGTGTGCGGTTTTATTACATTCAGCGAAATTGTTTCCCGGTTTTGTAAACGAATAACTCCACGTTATGCAACAGTTTATCTACTGCCTATCATTTTGTTTAACATTAATGAAAAACAAAACACAATTCGAATTTCTCGACCGATAATTACCTACCACTGTTTTCTTCAACTAAAATGGCAATCGTGTTTGTTTCAGTCAATTGATTTAACGAGTAAATATTTGGGCTGTGCTTATGAAAATGTACTTATTTATTCGGCTCTCCTTTATTTACGTTGTGTTCCTCCGTCGACACAGTGCAATCCAGTGCTGTATGTCGTGTGCCTCCACAATCACCGCTGCTTTACATGGCCTTTCCCCGTTGTGTTCGTGGGTCGTACCACGAGTTGTGTTCGTGGTCTGTACCACCACGCGGTGTGTTCATGCGTCGTACCACGCATTGTGTTCATGCGTCATACCACCACGCGTTGTGTTCATGGCTCGTACTACGCGTTATGTTCGTGGGTCGTACTACAAGTTGTGTCTGTGGGTCGTACCACGCGTTGTTTGACGCCTGTGACGCTCCCTGTCGGAGCTGAGTATTTTATAGTCAGTCAGCAGACCGTCGTGCCAAACAGCACACGTTACATCCCGCAAAAACCCATTATTATACAATGTTACGTTACGAAAGGTATATTTAGTATCGACTTTAGTACAGCTCTCCAATGTGTTTTTGCACGACACAGCGCACACCGTTTAACAATCTTCTTCTTCGTATGGCGTGACGTTGATGTGGAGAGCAGCAATAATAATTTTACCTTGAGGTGGTCGAGCCAAACAACTGTACCACACGAGCCACGGAGCGGTGTTTCACGGCTGTTGATGACACCACCTCCTTCGCATTTGCGAATCGGGCAAGCCGAGTCGTTCTATTTTCCCACGCTCTGTTCTGGGTGTCCGCCATCGATGAGGGCACACCCGTACGTGACCAAAGCAAAAGAGCCGAAACGAAGGCCGGCTCGATGAGACGAAAAGCAGGACGAAGTACGCTTATATACGCCTCAACATGCAGGCGAGCTCAAGCGCAGGAGTTGTCGTGATTTTTTGAGAGGACGGATAATTGTCGTTCTGACATGCCGACCCGCTATCGTCTCCCGAGGCCACGGCTCAGACATCGCATTCCGCCTTTCACGTCAACTGCAAACGTAAAGCTCATTGACCAGACGTCTCGATGTGCACGCGCGCGCGTGCGTGTGCGCGCGTGTGTGTGTGTGTGTGCGTGTGCGTGTGTGCGCGTGTGTGTGTGTGTGTGTGGGCGTGTGTGTAATCCTCTGGGGAGCGGTAGTCTAGCGGTTAGCGCGCTGCGCTATGAACCTGGCGACCCGGGTTCGATTCCCGCTCACGGCCAACACCAGTGACAATTATCTGAACCGGTCCCGGGCCTCCCCTAGGTCGACCCAGCCTCAAATGAGTACCTGGTGCGGTGTGTAAACATCGCCACTAGGGAGACAAAGGCGGTCGGGCGTGATGCTGGCCACCCACCCCCTCGTGTACCGTTCCGGCCTTCATAGGTGCTCGCTAACAGCACTTGCCCCTACAGTCTGTTATGGCTATACGGGGGATCTTTGTCTTTGTAATCCTCTGAAATGTGGGGAGCGGTAAGTATCGTGGCGGTTAACGCGCTGCGCTACGAAACTGACAACCCGGGTTCAATTCCCGCTCATGGCCACCAACACCAGCGACTATTATCTGAACTGGTCCTCGGCCTCCTCTAGGTCGACTCAGCCTCAAATAAGTACCTGGTGCAGTGTGTAAACACCGCCACTGGGGATACAAAGGCGGCCGGGACGTGGTCTTGGCCACTCGCCCCCTTGTGTGCCGTGACGCACCTTCATAGGTGCTGCTCGCTAACAGCACTTGCCCCAACAGCCTGTTAATGCTTTCCGGGGGGATGTTTGCCTTTGTGATCCCCTCAAATACAAGGAAATGTTCAGCAAAGCACGTGTTTTCTTACCATCATCTTCCAGCTCTTCTCTCGGTTTCAGCGAGCCCGCTATCTGCTGCTCCAGAGAGACAGGGTCTTTTGGATTATGACTACAGAGAGAAGGGGGAGACAAATTCAGAACCGAGACATCAGGCCACTGCATTATTGAACAGAGGCTTCGCGAAATAATAAATAAATACATAAGCAGAGCCTTGCGTTAGTGTCAAAGCATTTTGGCCGCGTGCAAAAAAAAAAACCTTCTGAACGCGACCAGGACAAGCACGCACGCGACTGAACAGATGGGCACACATCCGACTTAAGTCCACCGTCGCACGTAGGGTACTTGGCGAAACGGCACGTGTTGTGTGTGTCGCTGCCAAAATGAAAACGCGAAGATAATTCAGCTGTCATGGTTTTCGGGGGTGTGTGCCTGTGGTACGTGCGTGCGTGTGTGCAGTCGTCACCGCGTGTTAAAGTGTCCGAAAACGTGAGCGACAATTTGTAATCGGGTGGCACGGTGGCGAGATGTTAACCACCTCGCCTGATATGCAAGAGGTCGTGAGTTTGATTGCCGACCCTGACTCCTGCGGTACATTTGGAGTGTGCATGTTCTCGTTAAGGTCGCGTGGATTTTTCCTTCCACATTTAGAATCAAAATGTGCTTAGAGTATTTGGCTGCTAAACATTCACACGTGATAAGCCATTTCCTTGAGTGAGCATTTGTGGCCTTATCGCTTCTGAATAAGAGCTATATAGCTCGGTGAGTCTTACCTGGTTATAAATAGTTACTTTATATTCTTGGTTCTTTTGGTAAAGTCACGTAGAAGGGAAACAATAAAATGATACAAATATAAAACAATACGATTCTCACGACGTTTCGACTGCAACACAAGCAATCATCATCAGGTGTGAAAACCACATCAATAATTTTCTTGCTGTGGTTTTCACAAGAAAATTATTGCTGTGGTTTTCACACCTGATGATGATTGCTTGTGTTGCAGTCGAAACGTCGTGATAATTTTATTGTTTTATATTTTAATTATTTTATTGTTTCCCTTCTATGTGACTTTACCTGCAGTCACAAAAGCTTTAAATAAAAAAAAATAGTTCGTTTGTTTATGATGAAAATAAAAAGAATAGGCTTGACCCTTCATGGGAATAAAACAGGTGTTAAGATGGTCAAACACAAAATAGATACCTTTTGCAAGCCGTCAAGTCTGCATTAATCCCACATACTTGTGGAAAAACATGCAAACAAGCCTGCTCCGATAATTATATAATATACGCATTGTTTTTGAAACTGCATTGTCTTTGACCAGGTCGCGTATGAAAAAGAACTCTGTAACTCAGTCGGGCCTTACCTGGTAAAATAAAAAAAAAAGTGTATAGTTTTTTAAGTTGTAATCGAATGGAGCCAAGCTTGGGCAACACGGCGGAGTGAGAAAGATGACGAGTCCAAGGCACCCGAAGGCAGAGTAAACGTTACACAAAATAAACCACGCCTACCCTGTATACCTGATAAACGCATCGCTTGCGAGCGTATGGAGAAAAAAAATATACAATTCTCACATTGCATTTTATATATATATGACACAATCCCCAGAGTTCTGTGGTCGTTATGTCTGTCAGAGATTGAATAAGCAAGACGTGATTTCGTAGCGCACGTCCGTGGAAAATCTGCCGCGGCAATGAAGCTAGAGCGAAGCAGGCAAGGCACGTGACGATCTCCCAACGGGCAAAATATGACAACTATGAAGTTTAAACGGGCAACCGATGTGAAGCTATACATTTATGCGCTTGCAGAAAATCAGCAGTGCACATCTGCGGTCCTCTTAGTCAATCCACTGCTGCATGAGAGGGCTCCGCCATGCCCCTATCCAGGCTCGAGTCGGCTTAGCTTTCTGAGATCTGATGGGACCGGGTACATGTTGGGCGATTTGGTCGTACGCAAAAACAAAACCGATGACTCGACGAATACAATCGCATTTTCACAGCACAACCAACGTCTCTGGCAAAGTTGTGGACGTGGCGTCAATTATTTGAACGAATGCTGTCTGCTTATGATGCGCAAATTCATATGGGCGACTGCAATAAGCTTACAAAAAATTCTTCATTATAAATAAGGGCTTTCGACACACCCTTCCGACGACAACGCATTGATATTTCCCTTTAAAAGTGATGTGACAGGGATACGTGGAGACGTGACAGAGAGAGACGTGAAGGTGCGACAGAGGCGTGACGCTCGACTCTCCTGGTTCGAGAGAGGACCGGCTTGACAAGGGGCAAGGAGCCGCCTGAGGCATGTCGGAGGTTGTGAGATAGAATGCACCATGGGAGCGAGCTGCTTTCAGAAAGATGGTGTATCTGCCCTTTGACCAAATGCGTACTCTCGATCTTTTTTGCAGGAAAGACAAATGAATGGCGTAACGCCATTGTGCCTGGCTTTTGCAGAATGTGAAAAAGGAATTTGGCTCCGTGGAAACTGATTCGGTCATCCAAGCTTTTCTGCAGACAAAGGCAGGCGTTAAGCAAACGCACGTGGAAATCGTTAAGGTGGAACAGCTGCACTGAGGTTGCACAGGGAATTAACGAAAGACAAATCCGAATAAGAGTCGGGCAAAGAGATGCACTCTGACCAAAGCGATTCACAGTGGCCCCGGAAAGATATCGTCTGAATATTGAATAACACCAGCAAAAAATAATAACAACAGAGGCAGCAACAGGAACAAAAATTATAATCACAAAACGTATTCTTAGCTCTTTCGGTAAAGTCACGTTGAAGGGAAACAATAAAATAATAAAATATATATGAAACAATAAAAAAATTCTCACGACGTTTCGACCATAACACAAACGGTCGTCATCAGGTTTGTGTTATGGTCGAAACGTCGTGAGAATTTTTAATCGTTTTATTTATTTTATTGTTTCCGTTCAACGTGATTTTACCGAAAGAGCTAAGAATATGAATTACTGCAGTCACGAAAGCTTCAAATGAAAAAAATATAATCACAAAACGCTTAATAAAAGTAGGCTCACGACCTGCATTCCCTTTATTGTAAGGTTTTACCAAGTATTATGCATGGGTGTTAAATCTGGGCTATGCAGAAAGCCTTCGTAGAATGGCACACACAGTGCAAGGCAGTTTCCCCCTTGCTTTACTGCCAACATGGGCAGCAGAAACAGGTGGTCTCCGCTCGATCCACCAAAGGGCGTTCGAAGCACAGTTGTTTATATCGCACACATTGCACAGTTGCTCTCAAGAGGGACGTTAACACATTTATTAAATACCAATTGAGTTTTCTTTTCATGGTCATTCACAATTCTCCCCCAATGCTATTAATACGGCCATAACAATGCATCTCAGAAATTGGTTTTAAAAGTCTTGTTGAACAAAGTTTAAACAATGACCCCGCAGCCTGATGGCAAGTGCATGGTTGCATCTACTGGTATTAAATTGCCAAGGGCCAGATGAAATAAAAATGACAAACAATTTCTATTGATATTCAGGCAACTGACCAAAGCACTGGCTATTCCAGACGTAATTGGAGCTGCTGCAATTCTATATATACTGGTTAATGCACCTGTTGCATATACAATATTCAAACGCTAAAATGTAATGAAAAGTGAACAATGTGCACCTAAGCGTGGTGAGATGCATGCTTCGATTTTTATTGAGAGACAGAAAAATTAAAACACATAGATTTTGGCTAGCCATCGAACAAAGACGGTCACCGCGTCATGCACTTCCAGATGCGCTTCTGCGGCCGTCTGGAACAATCTTCCTTCCTATATTTGGAAGCCACCAGAGCTATGCCCTTTAAAATTCTAGCTTGAAAACTAATTTCTTTAAAACTGATTTTCATGTTTAGTTTGTTATCCTTGCCCCGGACCTCTGATTAGCACGGTTGGCTACGTACGGTGGGAAAGAAGTTCAAACACGCATATATTAGAACACAACAGGTTAAAGACTTCCGTTCGACTGTTAAGAAAAAATAAGTGAGGCTTGGGCAGGGCAGGCCACTCTCGTGGAGATGGCCAACGGTCAAGATCAACGACGGAGCGGTTGCCGAGCGAAGGAATGCTCCGGAGAGGACATGCACCACGGAGATGGAGCAGTGAAATCCGTTCGTGTGCAGGTGCGAGGCGAACTGTTATCATCGCATGCCCATGACGGAAACAGCTTAAAACCTTTCCCGTTCTGAGACGTCTGCAGGTTGAAGGGTGGGGGTGTTCCGTTCACTTCTGAATCTCGGAACGCGCAGAGAGGCATGGTAGCGCCGTTGTTTTTAAAGACATTGTACTCACCGTAGAGAACCGTAACGACACGACCGCACTCTCTGATAGCTGGCGCCAAACTGTGCACACACGCCCTCCCGCATGGCCTTGTGGGGGCCTCGGTACCGATAAAGTTATTTTATTTTATTTTTTCTTCCGGTTCCGTTCCCACGACGTACACATACGTACATCATGGGAATGGGTTAAGGAGACCATCCAGCAGTGAATTAATCATGGCTAATAAGGATGATGATTAGTGAGAGGGGGTCAAGTTACCGCTCTGTGCTGTGAACCCAGCGTCCAGAGTTCGATTCTGGACATGGCTCACATCAGTGGCGAGTGACACCTGAACAGGTCCCTGGGTCTCCCATTTCATCACCACCCCCGCAACCACCGGTATGGTAGCGTTCCGTCAGACACCCCTCATTACTGACAAAGCGTGGCTGACAAAGCGTGGGAAGGCCTTCATCCATGGCGGTAAATTGTTAAATTAACTTTTTTATTTATTTTGGGGGTATTTATTTTGGACAAAGACAAAGCAAAGGTCCCCTGTATAGCCTGAACAAACTGTTGGGGCAGGCACGGCCCACAAGGGGGTGGGTGGCCAGCACCACGCCCGGCCACCTTTGTCTCTCCCAGTCGCGATGTTTACACATCACACCAGGTACTAATTTGAGGCCGAGTTAACCTAGTGGAGGCCCAGGACCGGTTCAGATATTCATCACTGGTGTTGGCCGTGAGCAGGAATCGAACCCGGGTCGTCGGGTTCGTAGTGTAGCGCACTAACCAGTACACACTACCACTCCCCACTTGTACATTTGGGACAAAAGACAAAAACACAAACATGGGCATTCGTTCGAATCCCACACTTTCTTTGAAATGATGAGAAAACGCATCACAAAAACAGGAGAGCGCACGTGCGCAGGCTGAACGTAGTTTTAAGGACAAGCAAAAAAAGGTGCACTGCTCACACACGGCAGGGAACGAACGACTCCCATCATGCTCTGCATGCATGTCACGTGACCGCCACGTTGCATGCACAATGCGCTCAGCCTTGTCGATGATGTGGCGTAGTTGTCGCGCAGCACGAGTGCATGTTTGTGAGAAGACCATTGGATGTTGTTCTTTCGACATGGTCAATGTCAGGCACTTTTCGGTCGACAAAATCACCTTGGCAAGTTCCCGTAAGAACGACTGACCGGCAGACGGGGATTAAAATCACACCTCCGATTAGCACGGTTGGCTATGTACGGTACGAAAGAAGTTCTACATACACACACATATACAAATCGTCAACTTTGTAGACGTGAGTACAGGGACTGATACATTCACCGCTCGCCTTTTTAAGCTGCCCGAATGCTGGCAAACCGCATCGTAAACCAGTGTATAGTCTCTGTGCTCCTTCAACGAAGGAAGAGCGGGACCACACGAACACCCCGCCTGAAGCCCTCTCGTGCCTAGCAGACCTCGATATAGTCACCCCCTGAATGTATCGCCACGCACCACAAATATTTGTGACACTCGTCGTCAAGCTACGTCACGGCCGCAGCATTGTCCCGGCGGAGGGAGGGGGCATGCACTTACTTTCTAAGGAAGCTATCGGCCGACATAACGGCCGAGTAGTCGGGGAAGTGTGGCAGCCCCGTCGGCATCCCCCCGAAGTCTTGGCTCGCGGGGCCTGGCGACGAGTCGACATCTTCGGGGGGACTGGCTGGGATGTCGGGGAGCGAGTGCTGATGGTGATGATGCTGCTGCTGCTGCTGCTGCTGCACCAGCCGACACTGCAGCGAAGACGGATGCATGTAATCTGTAGGCAGCAACAACCGCAGGGTCATTAACGGGCACCGGATCTCGCGGTACGACAGCGGGCATCAACCCCTGTGGGGTGGGGGGGGGGGGGGAAGGAGACTGCTACAGGGCTCTATTGCGAGTACATCGTTGCCCACAAGTCTGAGGACAACAACAACAACGGCGGTGGTTTACCCACTCGTGCTTAACGTTAAAATGTAGAATTCGAAATCTTGCTTTGTGTGTGTGTCTTTGTTTGTGTTCGGGTACGGTGCTGGCTACCCACCCCCTCGTGTACCCTCCCCGCTTTCGTAGGTGCTCATGAACAGCACTTGCCCCAACAATCTTTTTATTTTTTTTATTTTGTGGGGAGCGGTAGTGTAGCGGTTAGCGTGCTGCGCTACACTACCGAGTTCGAGTCCCGCTCACAGGCAATAACAATGGTGATTATCTGAACCGGTCCTGGGCCTCCAACTCAGTTAACGCAACCTAAAATCAGTACCAAGTATGGTGTGTAAACATCGCCACTGGGGTGTTGGCCACCCACACCCTCGTGTACCGTGCCGGCCTTCATAGGTGCTCACTAACAGCACTTGCTCCAACAGTCTATTATGGCTATATGGGGGATCTTTGTTTGTTTCTGTGTGTGTGTGCGTGCGTGCATGTGTCAGCACGTGGCGGGCAGTGGTGCAGTGGTTGGCGTGCTGTACCACGAACCCGGCAGCCCGAGTGAAAACTCGTGGCTACGCCCGAGATCAGTGGCGGGTTGTATCTGAGCGAGTCGTGAGTCTCAGCTAGATCGACTCAGCCTTAAATGAGTACCTGGTATCATCTTAAGCACTGGGGGCATGGTGCATGCCATTTAAGCCGCAGACTGGTCATAAGCAATGCAAATGTGCCCCTAGAGCAGTGGTTCTTAACCTGGGGTGCACGCACCCCCAGGAGGCGCGAGATTCTCCTTTCTGAGGGTGCGAGACATGTCCAGATTTCTTTAGAAGGCAAATCATCGAAAACACAAATTAAGCACGTGCACGTAAGTACAAATTACTTTGTTTCATCAAACCCTACGTATTTATTAACATTATACATTTTTTAACGATTGAGAATGCTGCAGTAAAGGTTAAGCACCACTGTACTAGAGGTATAACGGGTGCATCAATGTACTGTGCTCATGATACGCACAACAAATTTCGCGAGTAGGAATCGACGTCTCTTTGTATGTTGCACGTCATGGATTCATATAAACCCAGAGGTGCTACCGTTTGCCAACGACCAAAACATTTGATAAACACATTCGTGAATGAAGGCAATTCATCAAATCATTCGGGGATCTAATCCTTAAAGGCCCATGTGTCACCCGATACCTTTGCTGCAGTTGGCCCTGTTACGCTTGGGCATCCGCCTTTAATTAAACATCAAGAGTGATGCTCCAACAGCTCTGCTCGGAATCTGCTGCAGCTGTTATTGGTTATCTTTCTGCAGTGCACGGTATATGTCGGCGCATCGGGGACGAACAACGTTCAGGTGTAAATGAGGCTACATGCCATCGGAGGTGACATTTTACGCGGACAAAAAAAAAAAACCGTGGCGTGCCGAATAAAACGGCAAGTGAAAAGTCAATTTAATTGCGACTGGCGGCGCCAAATGACTCGCGCTGATTTGCAGGACGGCGTAATATTTTAAAACGTCTCAGCAGCGCGACTCTTCGGTCGAGGGGGGAGAGTTCAAGTCAAACGACGACATGGCCGGCGCGAGTGGCGGGGAAGTAGGCGTCGCGATTGCACTTGACAACAAAATACGATGCCGAAATTGGCTTGAAGAAACATCCGCACTCAAAAGGAAGTGTGCACTTGGCCAACACATGCGAGCGAGCCTCTCTGCCCAGGACATTGTAGATTGAGCCACACATCTGAGACGCTCGTGCTAACACTGTGATACTGACCTTTGCCGCCAAAAGCTTCACCTAAGCCAGCACGTACACATATGCTTTACAAGTCTTTTTCCATCAAGCCTGGGAACCGTCCGTTCGGCAACACTCATTCAAATGTCTTACAGACTATCTAAAATATATACGTCATATCCCATAACGGGGGAGGAGGAGGGGGTGGATAAGGTTTATGGTGGCATGGTTGTTGATGCACTGTGCTTTCAACCCCGGCGACCTGGGTTCAAATCTGGGCAACAGCTAATATCGGTGGTGGGTTAAACCTGAATTGGTCTTCACCAACCTGCACTGACCAGCCTGGTGAAGTATGGTGAAGTATGGTGAAGTATGGTAAAGTAAAGTATGGTAAAGTAAAGTATGGTGAAGTATGGTGAAGTATGGTGAAGCAATCCCGCACGGCCAACACGTCATGGGGAAGGCCTTCGTTCAACAGAAGATCAACACGGCGCTGTAAGTATATATGAATCAAAGAACAAACGAAAAATATTGTGGAATTCAATGCATTCTGGATGACTTGACAAAAACCGCCAAGTGCTTTGTTGAAAAAGAGAGAGAATTTTTTTTGGAATATTAACACTTCAGGGATGATTGAAGCATTGGGAGGCTAAGCAAACTCATAAGAGCGTTTTTGGAAAAGGTGAGATTTTTAAAACGTGGCCTTTGACCTGTGACCTCAGGCAACGCACTGCGGTTCAGACAGCGCCGTTTAATTCACGTCAAGGTCGGCCAAATGGCGCGTGAGATATCGATCGAGGCGGCAGAAAATGTGCATTAATAGCGCCGACTTTATCTTTCAACGTGAAAAACTACGCATTTTGTGTACGAATTTTCACACAGTGCTGCTTTAAATTTTGATTTAAAGCTTTCGTGACTGCAGGGATTCATATTCTTGGTTCTTTCGGTAAAGTCACCACGTAGAAGGGAAACAATAAAATAATAAAAATATTAAACAATAAAATTCTCACGACGTTTTGACTGCAACACAAGCAATCATCATCAAAGTGTGAAAACCACACCTGATGATGATTGCTTGTGTTGCAGTCAAAACGTCCTGAGAATTGTATTGTTTCATATTTTTATTTTGTCCCTTCTACGTGACTTTACCGAAAGAACCAAGAATATAGTGCTGCTCTAGTTGTATTCTTTATAAATGTTATCCAGTACATGACGATCCATTTATGGATTCCCTAGTGATTCATAATATCCCTCTTTTGTACTTCTCTTCTCATCCACTGGCTCTCAACGAAGATCAGAGTTTCACAATGCACGAGTATGAATACAGAGCATGTCCTTTTTTTTTGTTACATTTGTAAACAAAATAAAAGCACTTGTTTTACGTGGATATTCGTATCGCACTGTCTTTTGGGGGCAACACTGACTAAAAGCAATGTTGCTTTGCTGCACAGGGGCGATTCATTTGTAGACACCCCCACCCATTTTTCCAACGAACGACTGAATTTTCTTCTCGACAGACGACCGAATGCTGCAAACGCGATGGCTCCGTTCCGTATCTTACGGTGTCAGAAGATGGAGCAAGTGTAATGCGATTGGTGATATAACAAAAACATTGCTCGATGATTCCCCCCCAATTACTTTAGTATTAGCGTGGGTGTCCGCAAAGGATTACATACTTTGCAGACTGAGTGGACCTGCGCGCAAAAAAAAAAAATACCACAACTCGTTGACATTTTCGCCAGCATATCAGTGCTGCACGTCGATGTTCAGCCGAGTAATATTTTTTTCAGCGAGTTAAATAATGCGTGTTTGGTTTAACGCAATTGCATTGTGGTGTGCATATTTAGGGTACGATCAATACATAGTTAATTAAACAACCCCTGCTATTTTTTTTATACGATTGAATCAGCAACTTGTAATGCTAAGGGAACAACTTTCCACGTACATACGTCACAAAAAAACAACAGGGGCAATTTGGGGTTCATTACTGAAAGTCTCCAATGACAAAAACAACAGCTACTGTCAGGGCACAGGTGCTTGGGTTGCCTTTGTTTCTTTCAGAATCCGAATCTTTATTTCAGACTGCAGGATGAGGAATCCGATGAGCTGTGAACCTCTTTTTCACAGAAGTTCAAATATGGGCACGGGGGTGAGTAAAGTTTCAACTGCAAACAAAACAAAAAAAACGATAGGCATGCAAAAACAGAGAAAATTGTGAGCAAGTCTCTAAATATAACAAAGTCATGTTTTAAGTCCGATTAATCAAGATTGAGTAAGGCAGTAAAAACAACAACAACAACAACAGTCCCAGACCACACCGAGATAACACCACAACAGCAGTAGTCCCTCAATAATATGGCACATTAACATTGAACTATCAACACTACACGGGTAATTATCAAAGTTACAAATCACGTTTGCAAATGTGACCGTATCCATCCAGCACTAATCTTCTGCTTCAGGATATTTGACCTGGCACGGAGGAGACGTGGCCATGTCAAGACTAATTCCGCCCCCAGCACTTGTGTCGTTAAACCCGGCACCACCTGACACAGGCAATTAGTAAGGTTTGTCACGTGAACAAAACGTGCCGATTCGTTATTAGTTCAGCACACCGGTGTGTGTTGGAGAGTAAACCCACATTTACAATTTAGCATTATAATGACTTTAGATTACATTCTTTGTAAAATATCGTTCATTATTATAACAGCAATTGGTTTGCAAAGCTGGGGTTAATACAAGACGCGAGATTCAATGAATTTTCATGGCTTGGGGTCGTGATTCGATTTGAGGATGAATAATTAAGTATCAGTGAGGGGGCGCTGCAGTGCCTCTAGTGGCTGCAATGCAGGGGGTCACATCAACGAATTATTATTCGCACGACCTACACAAATAACAACAGAAACATCTCTTCTCAGAAACACAATTCCACGCGTGCACTGCGAGGCAAGCATCGGTTGAAGGGACATCGCCCTCGCCGTTGCACCACTCGCTGCGAAGTCTCGAGGGTGGTGCGCATGCCCCCGTGTCTCTGTGCGCGTCTGCGCATGGTTAAGTGCAACAATTTGAGTGTTCGTGCAACACAACGTCAACATTAAACACAAAGTAAGCTCAGCGCA